ATATATATATATATATATATATATATATATATATATATATATATATATATATATATATATATATGATATTTAGTTATCATACAATTGGTTTAAAAAAGAACAATAACAAATTGATGAGCCAGGAATTATCGTAGAAGTAGACAAAGTTAAAATTGGAAAAAGAAAATTCAACAAAGGTCGAAGAACTTTGAAAAGACAGTGAATATTTGGCGTCATTAAACGTAATATTGAAACAGCTTTAATTGTCCCAGTAGAGAACCGATGTTCTGAAACTTTATTGCCATTAATTCGTAAATAAATTGCTCAAGGATCAATTATTTATAGTGATTGTTGGCGTGCATGTAATGATCTCAAAAATGAAAATTATATTCATAAGACTTAATTATTCTGAAAATTTCGTGGATCCTAACATCCAAGTACATACACAAAATATAGAGAGATTGTAGAGAGAATTGCGCGCTAATATTCCTCGTTTTGGCATTCAAGAATATCATTATAAATATTATATTGCTGAATTTTTGTTTAAAAGATTGTATGCCTTTCTGATAAATGTATTGATGTTTTCTTTGAAATAATAAGCAAATTGTATCCAATAAATACTTCAATGTATTTGTAATATTTTATTTTTTTAAATGGTTCTTCTTAAATGGGTTATATTACTAAAATATGGTAAAACTAATTCTAACTTAACCCATCATGTATGGTTTAGAATATTTTATTAGATTGATTAGGTTTAGAGTTAGTTTTTTGGAGAGGAGGTGCGGGAGAGGGGCGGAGCCCCGCATATACGTGTACTGTTTATCATATTTCCGTATACACTATGTGCAAAAATTACATTTTATTTATAAAATTTTTTATTGAATAACTTTTTAACAAACAACGAGCGATGGCTGAAACCTTTTGAATGTTACTCAAGAGGATAACCTCTACCATATATATGAAGTTCAAGATTATCGGTGCTGGGTCCGCTTTTGTAAAGGTTAACCCTTTTTTTTTTTAATTTGCTTATGCGCTGTATTTGATGACTGATTATTGCAAATATTTTATATGTCAAAGTAGGTTGATATATATACTTATGACGTGTGAAGAAAAATAGATATCCTTAGCAATTTTTGCTGGATCATTCGTATGCACGCATATTGCTGTCGGGACATGCATGCCTAATCGCGAAAAATAAAGCTTGTAGTTTGATAGTCTGCGACATGGTTTACGATCATTTCTAACTGGTCGTATATCGACTCACCGTACCAGTAGTTGTTCATAAAATCTAATCGTTCTTGTGTCCATCGGCGATTACGAAAGTGTACGCGTTACCATTCTGGCGACTGTGTTTCAAATTGTACAATAGGACCGACGTGAAAGAAAAAAAACAACAAATCGAAGAAGACGTACGTCTAATGTTATAATAATGTTTTTAAAAATATAGCTTATATATAGTTTTTTGCATTTGTTATTAATTAAAAGAGAATAAGTTTCACAACTATTATTTTTTAATTCAATGCTTTTCATTTTAACTGTCTTGGCGCAACATCACTTTTATAGACATTTGCATGAAATAACTACATAGAAAGAAAAAATAATTTTTATTTATGTGCCGATAAGATTGTGTCAAATGATTTTCATAGACTTCCAAAATATTTAAAAAAGAAAGATAATAATAAATAAACGTGAAGGTTTGTCGTACCTCCATAATTATTTTTAAGCCTTGCGCGTCGGGTAACCTGTTGTTTCTACGTGCCTCTTTGAGGAGATTAACGAACCATGTACATGGTATCCAATAAGTGTTAAACTCGACACTCGGCACCGACTGGTATAATTCGAGCTCCAGCGTAGTCATGAAGCCTGCAACATCCTCGTTAATTTTTAATTGTCACCACGACGACTATGGCGACGGTCGTTCCGAGTCATTTACCAGAATCAACAACATGATCGAGGGTAGGAAATCGTCTCTTTACTGCTGAGCTGATGGAACGTAGGACAAGTATCAAGGAGAGATTCAAATAACGCATCAGAGACCTCCGCAGCATTCGACTGTACTCGTCATTTCCAGTGATGTAGAGCGCTACGAGATGCATTACTCTATAGAAAAGAGGAATCAGATTTAGAAAAATTTAGAAACATTAAGTTTAAAGTATCAAGAAAGAACTATGCTTATTCCTTTTATCTTTTTCAACAATTCAACAGTCTAAAGCTATCTACTTTAATATTTTGTTTTACAGATATTACTAACCCTTTAAGGCCCAGTGTAACTAATTATATACATTCTTTAAGTTTTTCCCATATGTTTTATATCGGCAAATATTTTATATTTATATTAATGATACAATACTATCAATTTATTATAAATAGAACTATTTTTATTTTTCATCCCAAGCCAATATATAACAATTGCATGCAGAGCGGAATCATTGACGCTCAAAATTATGTGTGTATATAAAGTTTTTCACGAAAAAAAGAAGCATGTTTTATTTTTTCAATTTTCTATCGATGCTATCTTAACATATAAGGTTCATGCTTTTATGTTTATTATTATTGTTATAAGACTTATTAAATTCTGTACCTGGGGCACAGGAACAGGAATACACACAATTATATATATCCAGAAAATCACACTTCTTGATAGTCAATTTTATTCAAATCTTAAAACTCTATCAGAACTATCTTTTAAGACTATTCTATAAAGAAAAAATTTTATTCGGACAGATTCGATGGGTTTTAAGGAGTTAAGAACAAAAAAACTACTAGCAGTGAATAATAAAAGTTCCTTAAATTTTTAAAGATGTTATTTTTTATTATTAAAAGAATTAATTAAAAATTGTAATATGTATTATTTTAATATTTCTATAGACTTACTTGTCAGGCCATGGTATTGCCTTGTATTGCTTCCACCATCTTTGTGCGACGTAGGATACGTAAAATCCGAGCACAAAACTCAGTGGGATCAGTTTAATCAAGGTGTCGCAGTAGACAACGACTTTTTCGAACTCCCTGTAACATATTACACGTTACATTAATTAAAGATATTTAAAAAAATATTATTAAAACAATCTTATTCAAATCAATTGTACTCTTGCAAATACTCTATTGAAAAATACAAAACAATTTTATACACTCTACAAAAGTAATGATATCAAGAGCTTTATGCCAAGTACGAATGATTAATTATTTCAGTTTTTACTTTTATAAACATATGTGGTTTTGGTTATATATTTATAAATTAAATATATTATTAATATATTAGTAATATATTATTAAATAAAAAATAAAATAATTAGAGAAATAATTAGAGAAATAATTAAAAAAATTATAACTTACTTAATAATTATAATTATTTTTACTTAATATAATTAACTTAATATAATATAATTTATTTAATTATAATTTTTTACATTATTGTATTTTCTAATTATTTTATTTTTTATTTAATAATATATTACTAATATATTAATAATATATTTAATTTATAAAAATATAGCTAAAATCACATATATTTATAAAAGTAAAAACTGAAATGATTAATCATTCGTATTTGGCGTAAACTTTTTGATATTATAATATTATTTTTGTAGAGAGTATAAAATTGTATTTTTCAATACAGTATTTGCGAGAGTACAATTGATCTGAATAAGGTTGTTTTAATAATATTTTTTAAATATCTTTTAGCTGAGCTTTTGTTGTAATTTATTTATAACGATTTTTTTTGTAAAGACAAATAATGCTAACGCGCGTGCATCATTCTTTTTTTTACTTTTTTTGGAAAAATAATTTTGTTTTTATACCATATCTTTTTTTATAAAATAATATTAAACACTGAAAACGAGTTTCTTTGTAATAAGTTTATACGTTGAACTTGGACACTGTAAATATTTAGGTATACATAAAAAGCAGGTTCTTTAAATTTTTGTTTCAGAATAATTCATTTTTATAAAAAATGTGTCTCTGTCTCTCTGTCTTTCTCTCTCTCTTATTATTTATTATTTATTTATTATTTTATTATTTATATTTTGACATCTATACAGTCTATTTAATTTAATAAATTACGAGTCGGTAAATCACTAATCATAATATATATCTCCTTTTTTTCTTTTTCATCTTTTTGTTACCACCGTATTTATTTTTCTTACTATTTTTCTTCAAATAGTTTAATATTTATTGCATTTAGTTCTCTTTCTCTGTCTCTCTCCCTCCTCTCTCTCCCTCACCCTTTCCCCCTTCTCTCATTCTCTCTCACATAGTCTCTCCCTTTCTCTCTTTACAATATTGTTCCTTTCTGTCTAATAATGAAATGTAACGGTAACAACATACTTTTTTTATGAATAACGAGTAATAATGATGAATTACTTTTAAAAAGTAACCTTCTCATTTTACTATCTTGCATCTCTCTATTTCTATCATTTCTATTTTATGTTCTTTATATGCATAAAATGATATACGTGATTAATTCAGCACACTTGTAAAAATGTCCGGATGCTTTCTTTTAACGCAAACAACAAATATAAATTTTGCTACGTTGATTTTACGGCTGTTTATTGATTGTTCATGTTGAAGGAAAGCATTCAAACATTTTTACAAGTGAGCTTAATTGATTAGGAGTGTCTTTTTGTGCATATATTTTTTATCTCTATGTATATCGTTATATATAAAATTTGAATACGATTTCTTGCTTCTGACATCATTAAACAAGGACAGTCTTAGCGAGTTATTATAATATAACACGGTCGGCCGCGAGTTGCTTTGCGCTAGCACTTGGCTTCGCGACACTCCCGTGTCACTCCCGTGTCACTTGATATGTGCTAATCGGGACACTCCCGTTGTCCCGTCATCTAACAGAGAAACATAGTCAACTGACACTTTCTATATGGAGACGACGATGACGATCCCGCTGTCCCGCCATCTAACGGAGAAACATAGTCAATTGACATTTTCTGTATGGAGACGACAACGACGACGTTTCTTACGTTCCTGATTCCTGATTTCTGATTTTGAGCTAAGATATCTCAGCTTCTAGAGCACGTAGAAAAGAAGTAAAGACAGTTTTATGAAGTAATATAAACCTAAGGAATTGATTAAACCCATCCAGAACCTCATCCGTTCAGTCGAACGCGAAATCTTGCTTGTGTTAAACTAAAGTCGTCGCGTAAGTATACACGGTCGGCCGCGAGTTGCTTCGCGCTTGCACTTGGCTTTGCGACACTCCCTTGTCGCTTGATTTCAATAGCCATATAAAGCATATTAAGTCATCTATCTCTAATTTACTAATATTATATAATGAATTAAATATAATTTGATTACGTATAATTAATCATAAATTAATTATCAATGTGTGTATGTGTATGTGTGATGAAATAATTACTGGTAAAATTAATATATATTTCACATTTGTATTTAATGCTTTTGGAATGAAATTAATATTACTAGACTGATTTATGTATTTTGAGTGAAATGCACTCACTTTTTTTGAAAAGCAGTGAAAGCATGCCGATAAAGTGCGGACATGGTACCAAAGAGAAGTAGATAGAGCAGCAGTTCCCTGTAGATGAGCTTGTAGAGGGAACCGCGCCACATAAACAGGAGTCTGGTGAATCCACCGCTGGTGGAGCTGGCGACCTCGTACTGATAAGAGACCGTCATGTTTTATCCATTCAGGAACACCGTGGCAGTTTCTTCTCGAGAACGACGCGCTCGCGAGCACGTTGTTACTCATACTTCCAAAAGTTTACTCCTATCAAATCTAAAACAACATAATACTGCAATGATTATGATAATCAATATAATCAATCATAGCAGTGAACTACGTTTAGCGATATGCTGAGAGCTTTTGAAATCTCTCTCTTGTGTTTTATTTAATTTAGAAGAATTGAAATAAATTCCTATAGTGATATTAAAATTAATTTATTTCTAATTTCTTCCAATAATATGTTACATTTTATAATCAATAACAATTAGCTATTGTCTTCTTATGTTCTGTTAGGTCCGGATTCAAAAGATCAGTAACAATGAAAGGGATGTTAAAGAACGTCTAGGTTGAACGGTACAGGAATACAACTAGCGAGCCGATAAATTAGCAAGCCTGCAATGTGAATCAATGACTAGAAAACTTGATTTTATATTGTCTGACAGATGTTTGTTTATAGATTTATGAGGAATTTATGTAATTCCTTGACGGTGATTCTCCTTGAGATAGTATGTGATCTTGAACGAGAAATGAAAATATAGAATATAAAGGAACAAGATCCTAGGAAACCAAAATTAATTATACAGGATGTCTAAAAAAAATAGAGAGGGAGAGAGAGAAAGAGAGAGAGAGAGAGAGAGAGAGGGGGGAGGTTAGAAAACGCTTGTGTAAATATAGGTTAGATTAAAATAAATGCAAAATTTCTCTACAATCTCACAAACAACCAAAAAATTGTTGATTTATTAATTAAAGAAAATTGGTGAATGATCGCGTGTGATGCAGTGTAGAGTGCGATGGAAAATACAATTTCCATTGTATGCTTGTATATTAGATTAAATTTAATAAAAAAGCCCTGTATCGTTTTGTAAAATAACTACATAGGTTTTTGAGTTGAAGAAGTTTAGTAAATAATCGCGCGCAATTATTCGCTAATTTTCTTTACTTAATCCACTGTAAAAAAAGGCATGTAAAAGATTTAATTGTTGTCGCTTTTTCGCGATGCTGATTGGTTCTCTCGCTTAGCTCACTTTATGTGGGCTGCGACTTGTTTCGTGTCGTTTATGCCTGTCAAATTATCTGTCATCGCGTTGGTTAGCTCATGAAGAAAAGAATACAGAAGAGATATAAATTATAAGAACAGAAAAATAGAGAATATAGAAGCATAGAGAAGAAAAACGTAAAAGAAAGAGCAGATAAAGAGAGAAGCATATTATTTAGGTAAAAATAAATGTAAGAATAAGGTAATTTTATAAGGTAATTTAAAAGATCATTAATGATAAAGATACTAAAAGATACTAAATAACGCGCGCCTGTAATATTCTAGTAATTAAAAAATCTATATAGCTATTTATAAAATGGTAAGGGATTTTTTCCAATGTTACTTAATCATTTTATTTTAAAAGAGAATTAATTCTAGATTTACAGGAAAAGTTATTATGATTACGTTATTTTCAAATGTGAAGTAAATTATCGAGTGTCTATGTTTGCGATTAATTCAAAGAAGTTAGATTAATTCTCTAGCCAAAAATTTTAAGAAAGGGGCTATATTATTAATACAAGTTTCAGCATAAACATTGTTCCAGTATATGATAAAAAATAATTCGTCTTATCTATTAAAATAAATAGAAAATATATAAGTTGTTATATTAATCTTCTATTGAGTATTATTTATTGCATAGAACATATCAACATGAACAAACACCCTATTTTTGTCAGCAGCCGTAACTATCCGCATACTTTTACGTCTAGTATTCTTGCAGTTTTCGAAACGCAGCGAGTGATATTTCGCTGTCGCAGCTTCACTGAGGTTGGTGCCAGTAGACAATTAATTTGCCCTATTGTAAAATACAATTTCGCAACTTTTCCACGAACGACGGGGCGCGTATATCATTTTCGGCTCTAGTTTTGTTCAAAACAACCGCGCGTCGTTAAAGATTGGTTTACGATCACTCGTGGCGCCAAATGATTATTCTCGCAGAGCACACCGTCGAAAAAGAATCCCTTTAAGAAAATTTCCGATCTATAAGGGATTTTCTTGCGATTTAAGATCGTCACAGTGACACTTGGAGCGAGCGCTCGCGGTCGCATCATTTGCCAAAAATAAGCCGCGAGATGCGAAACGCCGACTAAAAGCGGAATGCTTTAGGCCTAAATTCGTCTATATGTATTAATACCATAAAAGTGATCATAATTATAATATAGGTGGAATCGCATTTACCTGAAAAGAAAATGAAAACTACTAAATGAACAAAGTTGTCATCGTAAGAGATTTTTGGTATTGATAAACATATAAATTAATGAATATGAAGTTCAGTAAGAGTATATAATATGCATTATTATGATTGAAGATACCTAATTTAATCCGATTAAGTTAAAAGTTTCCAATTAAATATTGAACAATAGGTTATATTATTGATTTTTTAGACTTTCGCGGTGTCCATGCATATTAGATTTGGTTTCCGTGTTTGAGCCGCGTGGAGTCATCTTTGTTTGATTCCGACGTTTCGCGAACATTTCAGTCCGCTTCATCAGGGAGGAACGACCCGATGCTATATGACCCGATGTCGAAGGTTATATTATTACTTTCTATTATAATAACTTTGCATGATATTATCTTCGCCTATTACTATTATTTCGTATATTACTATTTGTCTAAATCTATTTTTTATATTTACACACAAGAAATCACAAGAAATTTTTATATTCACGTCACGCCTTCAATTTTTTTAATGTGTTAATTTAATTTTGTCTGAAGCGCAGCTCGTTCTAAACGCTTTGTATGCATATTTCGTCATAGCTGTGAGCTGGACAAAGTCTCAAGTTGCATACGATGTGACGCCAAAAACGGTCGTGCACGTCACAAGTGAGACGTCATCGTGCCAACAACGTGTGGCGACTCAAGAGTCTCGGTGTGGCTATGCATTTTTTTCTCTAGGAGCACACCGTAAATAATGTCTAATAGCCTCTTGGGAATCGCGCCAGTATGCGACAGCAACGGTAAATATAACTTTGGGCGTCGATATAATCACTGTGTCTGGGTAAACACACAATTTACACGAGATTTCCGGGCGTGTGACCTTTGCGGCTGCACCTTGGGACGCACTTTGTCGATCGACACCTCGAGAGTGCATTTATTGCAGCCAGAACGGCTCGTTCGCAACTACGGCGGTTGCCTTCGCGCACTTGGCACATTAGTTGTTATTATTCGATCTCTTAAGCATTTGGAATGTCTAAGAAATAAACTGACTTCTTTTGCAATTTTTATTAGAATTATTTCCTGCACGGAAAAAAGTTTGATTGGATGTATTAATTTTTGGTGAAAAACAAATGATTCAGAAATTCCCCTTGAAATTATTAGAATTCTGTTTAAGTTGACTAAAAATCTTGATAATTTAGATAGAATTTTGATAACATTAACCAGAATTTCTGAATCACCTATATTTTACCAGAAGTTAGCTCATCTAGCCAAATTTTTCTTCTGTGTAATTATGATAAAAAACACACATATATATACTTGGAACATATGAAAAAGAGATTCCGTTTTTCAGGATTCAGATCAATTTTTCTGTAATACTCGAAGTTTAGTTATTTAGTTATATAATAGTATATTATAAGATAATTTTTATTAAAATATTAATTCATTAAAAAAATGTCTTTAATTGGAATTTCTCTTCGCACAATCTGTAGGGGTTCCATTTATTACAATTGTATTTAAAATATTAGATTACTCTTTAAACAAAGTTCAATCTTTGTCTTCAATAAGAATCAAACAAAGTTGAATCCACGCGGCTCAAACCCGGAAACCAAATCTAATTAGATTACTCTCTTGAAATTTTTTTTATTAAAATAAAAGTTATCAAAATTATTAATTATATAAATCATGTTTTAGACATCCCAGACTTTCTAATTACAGATTATTACAATACAAAAATTTGGAAACTTTAAGTGGATAAATGTTACGAGCAAAAAGTAATTTGACATTAAAATAACTGAAAGTCTGGCTTCTGGTAGTATTAACATATGAATATTTGTTAAAAGCTAACGTGACGGATTTGGGTCACCATGTATAATAATTTAAATAATTCACGACAGGTAATTTTACGGTCAACGTAAACATATTGCATGTTTCTGTAACGTAATCCGTGAAATTATCGCACCTATCGAAGCTCATGGCATTCTTGGCCGGCGAGCTGTTACATAAAATAAGCGACGATTCGCATTGTATCGCATCGCTTCGCTTTCAATTCGAACATATCCAGTCTATCATGCATATCTTATGTGAACGGATAGCTTCCGTGCAATACTTTCATTCTTAGTCATTCGTGTCGTGACCAGGTGTCGGTATAGCGCGCGCTTGCAATCGCGGGCACGATGACGCCGTTAATAATACGGTATACGCGACGTCGTCGGCGTGTCTGACGGATCGTCTGATGGTCGCACTATATTTCCGCGCGACCTTACCGAAAATACACTCGAGGAGCGCGCGTCGGTCTTTCTCTCTCTTGTTGGCGAAATGTGGAATTTAAAATTCTTTCATAGAAGGATATCTTTTGTGCGTTATTGAATTAGCTTCCAATTAAGGAATAAATATAACGTAAATGTGTAAATGCTTCAAAAGCGATATATTAACATAGAATATAAATAAATAATTAAAACGGATAATTAATCTTATAAATTTGTTAATTATGTCATGTCTTTCGCCTGTACATGTATGACATGTTCGAAAATCTTGAGCTTATCTTAAGCTTATCTTGAGCATATAACTAGGTACAGGAAAGTTCATTTATAAAATTAATAGCGCACATAATTAAGCTTCAAATAAAACCACGTTATATTGCACATCTGAGATAACATGCTTTGTAAATTATTTCTTTCACTCGTATCTAGAACTGATAGCAACACAATGAGTCTATACTTTATATAAAAAGTCATATTTTCAATACTTTATAATTTGAAATAGCAATATATTAAGCAGAAATGGTAGAATTTAATTGGGTTTTGTTGATATACATAGTGAGTTGAATGCTTTTAATTAAATTGAACTGGCGTCACAAAACTATCCTCAGTCTCTGCTGTTAATTAGAAATTAAATCATTTAACCTTACTGACGTGTGGGAAATCTTGAATATCGGTGTTTGAATATCGGGCAAGGACATGTCTACGTAAGGGTCTGTATTAACAAACATATAAATGAATATGTTGTAAATTTACAAATTTGTATTTAGTTACAAATTTTATCTTTGTATTTATTGGTTGATATCTATTAATCTATTAATACAAGGTAAATATTTAAATTAAAATGAGGTTATAGTTTAGATAAACAAAAAATAGGAGGTTTTTATGAATTCTTTAAAAATAAAAAGTATTAATATAGAGCTTCGACTATATAGTACTTATCATTTAAGTATAAAATATCATTTTTTTTTATTTGAAAGAATAAATTTTTGTCGTCCAGATTTTTATATTGAGCGTATTATATTGTCGCTAGACGTTTCTAACTGGTAAATAATATTATAGTTTATGTAATAATCTGAAATAAATGGGACAAGAAAATTAAAATAATTGTATTAAATTTACCGGAGAATGTTTTTTATATGCCTTTGTTGATTTTTTTATATGTAGAAAATTGAAATTTAATTAAATGGCGGCACTTCGAAATTACGAATTATGTTCTCCTTCTCCTTTTTTTTATTTAGTGTCGCGAGAAAAATACGAATTTTATAAATTTTCCAATAGATTTCGATTCATCCTCCAGCAAATATTTAATATACTTTTTAAATTTTCTTGTTCCACACATTTGTTTTATTGTTTCATTATATTTTATTATATAAACTATAGTCTTGTCCATTAGTCGGAGGCGTCCGGTGTACTGAGCACAAAAAACTGCACAAATTATAATTTTTAAAAACTAATGGTTAAAATAATGTTTTTATAATTTACAGTGATAAATGGTATAGGCAAAACTTTATATTTATTTCTTTACCCATTTCTTTGAAAAAAATTCATAAACATTTTATATTTTTCTGTTATCTTTAAACGAGAACCTGTCTATTATTAGATTAGATGTTTATAGAAATGTACAGGATTATTTATTCTTTTTCCGTTAATGTAAAAGAAACGCCGTTGAAATTCATATGCATTTTGTGAGTCAACTGTATTCGTATATAAAGCTGATTGTGAAAATCATCATCATTATTTAAATATTCATTACGTTACATGATGCGTCCCGAGGTAAATACTCTCATAAATATTTACTATTTCGCGGAAACGTGTGAATTTTCAATAGACAAAATTTCCGCTTTCATGTTTACAAGTGTACTTTTATGCATCTTAACATGTTTTAACTAGATATCATTGTACTATTCGAACTTTGCTGCATTCTATATTTAATTTATGCATCCCGTCCCCCTCTTCTTCTCCTAGACAACACAATCTACTGAAAGATATCTTAAAGACATTTAAAGGACGTCTCATTCCTTTTAGACGTATATTGAACGTCTTTAAGACATCTTTTAGAAGTTGTGCTTGTCTGGGCTTGGTGCACACTTGATTATTAAACGGTTTAGACAGTTTGTACAGATCTGTTTAGGAATGAAACGCGATAGCATAGGTATGCAAATTACACGGGCTTGCGCAGTAATTGGTTGTGACAGCAGCCCAAAAGACAATACAGGGTGTGAAAATCAAATGCAGCATCTGATCGGAGCAAATTTTTTATTTTGTTTTTTAAACGTATCTGAATAAACTATCTAAAACGTTCTGCAAACGGATACACACACACACACACACACATATATGGTAAAATTCTTTGATATTTTGTGTGTGTAGTCTTTCACATATACCGCGTAGCATATAGAGAGAATATTACAGTTGTCTTTTTTCATATAAATTTTTTTTAATTTTATTATTTTATGTTTTTGGAAATGCAGGAATAAATAGTTAGCAAACTCTATTTTGCTAACATAATAAATTTCGCTGAAAACATAGCAAGTTTCACTAGAAACATAGCAAATTTTTTAATAGCTCATTTCTCTTAGTTCTCTATAAAATATAAATAATACATACAAAACATATGAAACGAAAGGGTAATTAGTTATTGCAGAATATGTCGATATATTCCTCGATTACAATATTTTATAGTAATTTTTACTATAAAATTCTCTCCGTGTAGTTTTTTTAACAATATTGTATAAAGTATGCTTAAAAGCTAATGACAATTTTAATATCGACTCACCATGCAACGTGTATTCTTTTTTCAACTATACTTAGTACGTTTGTTATCTCTCTCCTGGCATAGAACTATTTTTCATCGCACACACCGATACATTCGTCGAAAATGTATTTTCACCGTTTTCACATCACGCGCTGTCGCGTTGAATCATAAAAATTTATCGACAAGAAGTCGACGTCCCTTCCGGTTATGCAATTTACGAAACTAGCTTTTTGTAGCGACGACTGATTTGACTATATGTGATGTGAGAGCTAATTTAAAATTTTCGTTAGCCGTCGCAATCAATTGACGTCATGCAGTCTTCGGGAAATATTAATAACTTCCTGATATGCAGCGTTCATTTTAATCCTTTACTACAGCACTTTTTCAAATAAACATTCAATCCATTGATCAAAAGGCTACAGCAACAATAAACTGTTTCTTATTCTTCTTTTAAGTTCTATTTTTCCACAACAATCCCCAAAACCAGCTGTTGAATTTAATATCGAACTGCCACTGAATATATATCATGTTAATTATACATTATAGAATTTAACGAATTATTCGTTCTCATAATACGTTTAAATAGTAGAATAAAAAAGATATTCGGCATACCAACTCGTTTAATCACAATTATAACAGAGATTCCACAATGTTCGGAGCATCTCTCTGTCGTTCGTCATCTATCGCTAGCAACAACCCGAATTCACGTATTTCATTTTTCTTAATTCACAACCAGAGATTTCTGTTTATAAACGGAGAATCTTCTTGCACTCCATGATTCGTCGCTTCTCAAGGCCATCCAAGATTTCTCGCGTGCTCCGAAGTTTCCCGGAGCGGAAGCGTTCTCGCTTTTGAACAGTCGGGATCGCTGAACATCTGGAGATTGCACCAGGATTAAATTCTAGCCGGAAAATCGCGAGATAACCTCGTCGGAAATCGCGAGTCGAAGACTTGTCGCGAGGTGGCAGGAAACGCGATACTAACGCGATCCGAGACCGAGAGGATTCGTCGTGGGCTGCGCACTTGGCGCTTGTCGGCGACGAACTGGTTGCGTATGGAGACGCGCGTCGTTGCATAGTCGACGGAATATTAAACATTGCTGCTGGGCAATCCCGATTTGATGGCAGATGCCCAAAATCTAAAAAGGGCCGAATGTCAAGCTCACGCATGTAGATCGCGTATGTCTCCGGCAATCTTCTCCGCTTTGCGTTCCTCTGATCATTAGAAGTGAGTGAAAAAAATCTATAATGTTGATTTTGCACGCGAAACAGTCGAAATTCCGCAACTAAACAATGCTAAAGATGCCTGTGAAACCTTCGATGAAAGAGATATCTAAAATATTAGAATATTGTTTAGATTTTATTTTGATGTCTTTTAGATTCTTTATAAAGTTAATTCTCTCATATCACGGGACTGAGTTCTATTACATTGGAAACGTTATGCATACTTGATTCTCTAGTAAGTAGTATCTATAAGTAGTAGCAATAATAAAAAATATGTTCTTTACAACCCCTGATTTTCTTGATTTCTTTCTTCTGTTTTCAATTATCTTGAAGCTGTTTAGTTTATGAAGAAATGTAAAAGTATTAATATACATGTAAAAATATTAATATATGTTTTGGTTTAAAGATGAGCAATCTCCTAAGGACATATAGGGAGGTGAAATTTCAAGTAAAATTAACTCTATAAATTCATATAAATTTTTTAGTTATCCCTTATAATTTTGAATCAATATATTTCATTTTAATCAATTTTAACTTAATTAGCTCAATTTTAATAGTTTTACGCAAAATTATTACCTTATTGTTTAATATTTTGTTTGTTTTTCGGACTTGGATCGTGTCTTCCTTGTATTTAAAAAACAAGCAAAATATTGGATAACACCGCCTATAATATCAAATCTTATTATTTGAATAAAATTTTACTTCCCATCACATTCAAATGCGTTTTCTTTGAAAACGATTCGTTCTTTTAAAATTATACACAAACAATAATATATTTTTTTAATTCTCCATTGCCCTTGTTCGATTGACAAACAATACTATTCTCGTATGAGTGGAATATCGCGTCTGTTATTAATTAAATATTGAAAGGGCTAAACCTGACAAGTATTGGGAATGTGCATTAATATTAAGAGATTTCTGGTAAAAATACGGCTTTATTGTAAAAAAAATGGTTACAAATTAATCATTCAAAATATTGTCCATCGCTAGCCACTACTTTTTCCCATCTTTTTGGTAATAGGTGGATTCCTCGTCGAAAAAACGACACATCTCTTGAGGCTATCCACGAATCGACCCATTTTTTGATATCTTCATAAGAACAGAAGCGCTGCTCAGACAGGCTATGAGTCATTGATCGAAATAAGTGGTAATCGAAAGGAGCAATATCTGGAGAATACGGCGGGTGTGGTAGGACATCTCAGTTAAGCGCTTCTAACGTTTCTTTGATCGGTTTCGCAACATGTGGCCGAACGTTGTCGTGCTGGAAAATCACTTTGTCCTATCTTTTCGCGTTATCTGGCCCTTTTTGCTTCAATGTTCGGTTAAATTGCATCAACTGTTGTTGGTAGCGTTCCCCAGTGATGGTTTTATTGGGTTGGAGCAGCTCATAATACACTACACCCTGCTAATCCCACCAAATACAAAGCATGAGCTTGGCGCCAAGAATATTCGGCTTTACCGTCGATGTTGATGATTCGCCTGGCCTGCACCATAATTTCTTGCGCTTCGGATTATTGTAGCGTATCCATTTTTTATCACCCGTCGCGATACGATGCAAAAAACTTTTTCTTTTGTGTTTTTGAAGCAACAAGTCATTTTGCGCCTTTCGGCGCCCTCAGCTTCAACTCGTACGGCACCCAATTTCCTTGCTTTTGAATCATTCCAATGGCCTTCGAACGTCTGGAAATCGTTGATCGATCAACATTTAATGATTCTGCAAGTTCTTTTTGTGTTTGACTCGGATCTTGATCGAGTAAAGCTTTCACTTCCTTATCTTCAAACTTTTTCGGCTGGCCTAGATGTTCCTTGTCTTTCACTTGTCAAAATCACTTTTTTTTATAACGTCGAAACCAATACTCACATGTTGAAATCGATGGAGTATAATTACCATAAGCATTCGTTGACTTTCAGCAGCACATTACTTCAAATGGAAGTAAAAAAGCAAAGCTTCCCGCAAATTGCGTTTTGTTGGTACAAAATTCGACATATTCAATTTTCAAAAAAACAATGTTGTTTATACATCGGCAAAATGACACATACTGAAAACTAAAACCACATGATGGTGCTTTGACA